GCGGGTCCGCGCCTCGGCAGGTAACTCGCAGGCGTTTTATACAGGCGTTTGCCACCTCTCGGGGGCCTTTGGCTGGGGGGGATTGGGTTTTGAAGCCCTTTGCAACGGCTTCGGGAGGCTGATGGTGCGGGCTGCGGGACCTGCCGCCAGCGCCATGGCCTCCCTTTGAGGCCCGCGCCTCCGGTCTTAACTTCTCCTGCCTGGTTTAGCATTTTTTTTCCTTTCTTTTGCACCGCAGAAGGGTTTGTTCACGATAGTTTATTCTGTCCTTCGCCGAATATTTCTCTTGAATAGGGAGGATGATCAAAAGGGTGAATCAGTAAGCAGATAATAAAAAAACTAAAGCTTAGAGAGGAACCTGAAAACACGTGAAATCCGAATCGTTGCGTGTAACACGTTTCTGATTCATTCTTGGGTAGAAAAATGCTGCTGGTAAATTCGGTGTAGAAAACATGAAGGCCTTTGGAATATTTCCGTAAGCGATCTGCACTTAAGTGATTCTTCGTAGTTAACAATTAAGCAAAATTTTTTTAAATGGTGTTTTATAGTGGGACAAGAAGGGAAATTTTTGACAATTTAAAGTTCTTGGAAGTCCTAGCTTTTCAGCTGGGAACAGGAAAAAGAAATAATGGGGGAAGCACGACGCCTGAGAGCAACAGGGAGCTGATGGCAGAGGCTTTCACATCTAGGGCTGGAGTCGATACTTGCTAATCCTTCATGAGTTAATTTGGGGCACATGGGGAAGTGCATGGTTATGTTAATGTTAAAGTAAAAGAAGTTGATCAAATGCAGTCTGTGGAAAAAAGCTAGCTCACCAAAGGCATTAAACGCTTGAAAAAAGAAAAGGGGGAGGGGGGGGAGCTTGAGCTCTGACCGTTTCCTCCCAATTCAAGTGAAATACAATTTTATCGCAGTTGAAAAAAAAAATTAGGTCACTAATTGCTCAGATGAGAGTAGACCAGCAGCACTCCTTTTGAAATCGCATCAAACCAGACAAGACTTATTTCACTCCTCTTTTACAGGTTCCCTCAAAGGAAAAAAAAAAAAACCCCACCAAAAAAAAAAACCTGGAGCTGTGTGGATTTTATCAGCCTTCCTTGTCGATGACCGCCTTGTCCTACACAATAGTGGATTTTTTCCATCCATTTGCCAGTGATTCAATCTAACCCCCCTGCTGGGTTTACTGCATTCTTCTAACTTATTGGATAACTAGATGCTGAGAGATAACATTCCTGAAATTCGGGGGTGGGGAGATAAAAAACCCAGTAGAAGCCCTATCCCTGGGAAGCCTTTGGAGAGGGTTAAGTGAAGTGCACAAGCAATCGCCGTGGCAGGGCTCTCCGCTCCTCGGTAAAGCCTCGTACAGTACGTGGACAGAGCTGGCTGCGCAGGGAGGCTTCTTTGCAGAGAAAACCCACGTTTTCAGACCGTTAAGTTCATGTCGGCGATAACCACTCTGGGGGAGGGCAGGGCAGGGCAGGCAGCCCGGGGCTTTGGGTAAATGAGGTGCTCTGATTGCAGGCGCTTGGTGCTCCTTCGAGGCTGGGGAGAGGATGTAGCTAGAAATCAAGATGAAGAGTTGAAGCAGAAGCTGTTGGGCTCTTTAATGAAACAGTAAATGGCTCCTGTGTTATTCCAGCTACTATAAAATAATCAAGCATCCTGCTTCTACTGACTGTATCTTAAAAAAAAAAAAAACAACCAAACAGAAAAACCCTCAAACAACAAAACCTTTTTGAGGTAGGGGAAGCTATTACACTCACTTTTCTAAGGTAGAAGGAAAATAAGGCATAACTCTTCCCTACTTGTCATGCAGCAGCTAGTCGCTACAAGCTGGGAATTGAATTTATTTGGAGTTCTGAGCTAATGCCTTACTGTCAGATGGGGAACTGGAAATTAAACTGTGTGACGGGGCAGAGGCAGGGCTGCTAACCTGCCTGCTGCCGAATACGCGTGCCTTCAGTTTAGTGGTGGTTCTGTCTCTGAGGTGGCAGCTGGTGCTTAGGAGCAAAAAAGTTACCTCTGGAGCTCCTCAGAATTACGAAAATTAGGAGCATGGGATGTGCTGGAGTTTGCAAACGGGGGCTTTGAATTTAGTGTGGTCTTATCAGTGGAAAAGAGGGGAAATAAGAAAGTACTACCAAGGGAAGGGAGATCAATGATCATATGCTTTGAAGCAGTTAAAGTCTGAGGACTTGTCTAAATGTAGTTACCCTGGAATATCTCCTTGGGGTGGGCAACAGTCCTTCATGCAGACATTTCTGCTTAAAATACTTTGCTTGGCCACTGTGGAGATGCAGACTGCAGCGTGAAATGCATGTGCTCACGGAGGAGAGACTAGGGAAGGAAGAGCTCTGTGCTTTCTGACGTAAAACCTAAGGTTATTTTGCAACACAGGGAAACTGTATAGTTGGGCTTGGGAGATTGGAGTGTTAAAACCCCAAATGCTAAAGGATTTGGAAAAGATGTTTTGATGTTTTGGCCTGTTCTGTGAAATACCTGTTGGATGGATGGAAATAGATAGGAAAGTAGTCAAGTAAAGACCTCTTGAGTCAGTGTTCAGGGTAGTTACAGAAGCTTCTTGTCTTTTTTTCAACACCAGTGCTTTCTTTCCCATTATATCTGCTCAGACTCTTGCAAAGACGTTTAAAAACATCCATTCTTGACCTCAGTTGACCCTATTTATTGACTTCTGAATCATGTACTGCTTGTACTTAATCCGCAGACTAGATTTCTTTGTATATTTTTCCATAGAGTTAAAACAACTTGAGAGGCATCAATTTAATGATATTTGGGGTGGGAAATGTATGTTAAAACTATGCTTTTACTCATGTTTTCTTCACTTGTGGAAGTTGTTTCAGCTAAAGGAGTGGGGAAAAAGTATTTAAATCTCCCTGTTTAGATATGACAGATCCAAACAGTTTTGATCGTTGCTGTGCTGAGAGCACCTTTCCTGCCTGTTCCAGGACTTGTAACCCTGAAGTGTACACGATTAACAGAATTGCATACATACAGATTTGGATTTATTGCTCTGCAGACCATAGCATAACAGACCTTCGATATTTGCATTTGTTAATTCATCAAGTTCTTGTTGTTTTGGTGTTTTTTTTTTTTTTTAAAGTGCACTTTCCGTCACTCAACATTAAACAGTTGAAGTTTGACTTGTTGAATATACATATAATACCCTTGTTAACCTAACAGATGTCAAGGTTTGCAATATCCTCCCTTACAGAGCTTTTACGCTACCCTGAAACAGTAAGTCAATGTGCTTGGACATGCTTCCCCTCCACCCCACCGTGTACAGGATATACACGTGTATCAGATGTGTGGTTCAGTTACACCTTTAAAATGAAAGCCGCAAATAGCTCCTGTGCTTGCAGAGTCTTCGGTGCCCCGTGTAAGACTGTGTGGGCTCATAACGTGGAACCGGAGCTGAGCCCCGAGATAAATTCCTGGAGATGCAAGACCTGAATATAAGAGATCTTGTAATACAAATTCTCCATGGTGGTTGAGGTCTGCAGTGTGCCCTGCTGGGTGTGTGGGAGTGAAGTACTTGTTCCTGCACCCTTGGCACACATCAAAATTGGACCAATTAATGGGAGTTACAGGACATTTCACCCGATGAGGGTTGTTGAATTATCTGTAGTCCTTGCTGCTTCCCCCTCAGCTCTATAAGCCTCAAATTTTACCTCCTGAATACTCCTGCCTCCCGTGCCCCAAATGCTTGCCCATCTCAAGCTGGGTGTGAGTTTGTTGTTTGATGAAGGATGGCTACACTGATCAAAAACATCCTGTTTTGGTTTAGAATTTCTCTTAACCTCTCTTCCCGTTCTGATATTTCCCTGAATGAGATTTTTTTTTTTGTCCACGTGCAAATTATGCTCAGTCTAATCTGCGGGGTGCTGGTGGAGGAAGGGCAGGAGTGGACTTGCAGATCAGCTTCGCTTTTGCACCCCTTCCCTAAAGCAGATGACTTGGGGGTGCAGCTACACACCCTGTCCTGAGCGGGTCTGAAGCAACTTGGTGTGTTTTGCAAGCAGGAATTGTTGCTTCGCTCTCTAATAATCATCAGTATCAATGTAGGCTCGTACCGACGTGTGGCATTCTGTAAGTTAATAATTTGTTTACTACTGTGACTTCTTAGAGGTTGCTTTTTAGCTGAGTGTGTTTTTGAAGTATTTAAAAGCTAATATTGGACTTCTGCTTTTGTCAGCCCCCTTCGGTAGTGATTATTTCCATAATGGTGGAGTGAATGTTGTTTGATAGATCAGTGTACAATTAAGAACTGCTCTGAAGTTCTTGTGTTAACATATGAATTTCTGTGAGATGGTTAACTAAGCATTACCAACTGAAGCACAAACAAAATAAGCTTATGTAGTGTTTTGCTCAGTGTCTTCTGACACTTCCCTGCTTCCTCTGTCTTCCTTGGGTCGCGTTCCTTTTAAGCTGTTTTGCAGATGCTAGCTGCCTTGCTGCTCTGTTCCCTTTTTACCCGTATAAAGGGATCTGTGATAAACCTCTTTCCATTGAGCCGTGTCGGATTCCTTTTATTATCATTGTTTTTATTGAAAACGGAACTAAGATGCAGATTTCTTTGGGGCTGCAAATGAATTGGTAGCAAAACAAAGAGCAAGACTTCAGATTGATCTGCAAACTTGATTCCAGTGTCTCGTATCTTTAACTTGCAGTTCAGGTGAAGTTGGTGATTTTAAGAATAGGAAATACCCGGTCTAAATCTAGCTATTAATGTGACTTTCTTTTGTTTTAAGGGAGTCCACAAGACGTCCCAGGTGACGGAGATGGTGAGATGAGTTCCAAAAGGTGCCGCACGGAGGAAACTAAAATCTGTGAGAAATGCTGTGCAGAATTCTTTGATCTCTCTGAATTCCTTGAGCATAAGAAAAATTGCACTAAAAATCCACCTGTTCTAATCATGAATGACAGTGAGGGAACAGTACCCCCTGAGAGCTTCTCTGAGTCTTCTCTAGGGAGCTTTCCAAGTGATCGAATGGATAGCAGGGCACGCAAGGACATTCAGGCAAAGGGCTGCACTGGCTCTATGGAAAAGAGAGAAGGAAAAATGGATGCTGAGTCGGTAGGAGGAATGTACCTTAAAATAGAACCCCCCGTGACGCCTGCAGCTCCTGGGCTAAGCTATCTACCAAAATCCAAAGTACCAAACACTAATGTGACTTTGCAGACGATACGCGGCACTAAAGTGGCTGTGAACCAGCGGACCTCCGATGCCATCTCGTCTTCAGCAGCCAGTTTTAATGCTATCCCCATGATCCTGGAGCAGCTCGTGTGTCTGCAGCAGCAGCAACTCCAGCAAATTCAGTTGACGGAGCAAATTCGCATTCAGATTGCCATGATGGCTCCGCATGCCCTGCATCCTTCTATAGCAGCTGCTACTGATCCACTAAAAGCTCTGGGCGCTCACATGTCTCAGCAGCTGTCGGCTGCTGTTGCTTTGATCGGACAAAAAGCTGGGAGCCAGAGCCTATCACTGGAATCCTTGAAGCAAGGGAAACTACCTCATTCTAACACTGGCGTTGCAGCCACTGGCTCCCCGGCCTTTCCTCCTCCTTCCCCTTGAAGTCGGAGGCAAGCAGAAGCCTCCCCGGCTCCATTTCTCGGTTCCCAAATCCTTTGCTACCTCAGTCCTCCAACTCTGTCATCTTCCAAAACCCGCTTTCAGCAGTTTCAGCAGTTTCTTCTGTAATAGAGTCCTCAAAGAAGGGGAAGGGAAAACCTCCCAACATTAGCGTGTCTGAAAGCAAGCCGAATGCAGAAGAGCCGTTCTTCAAACACAAGTGTAAGTTCTGTGGCAAGGTCTTTGGCAATGACAGTGCCCTGCAGATTCACCTCCGTTCCCACACCGGTGAAAGACCCTACAAGTGTAACATTTGTGGTAACCGCTTTACAACCAAAGGAAACCTTAAAGTGCATTTTCAGCGTCATAAAGACAAATACCCCCACATAAAGATGAATCCTTACCCGGTTCCTGAGCACCTGGACAATGTTCCCACTAGCACTGGCATCCCTTATGGGATGTCTGTGCCACTGGATGAGTCTAACCTAATTGTGGATAGCAAACCTCTCCTAACAACTCTGCCTACCTCTGCGGCCACCAGTGCACCTCAGACCGTCTCCAACCTAGCAGGCATTAAGGAGTCTCTGCCTGGTACGTTCTCAAGTGACCTGCAGTCAAAGCCTTCTCCAGAAAGTGAGGGCGGCTCTTCCTCATCAGGGGCAGTCGGCCATGAATCGGGAACGGAGCAGAGCTTGAGTTCACCACAAGCTACTTGCAGCGTGAGCATCTTCCATGTAAGTGGGTCAAACGAGCAAGGCTCAGAAACATCGAAGCTTCAGCAGCTGGTTGAAAATATCGACAAATCCACTGCTGACCCCAACGAGTGCCTGATCTGTCACAGAGTGCTGAGCTGCCAGAGTTCACTCAAAATGCATTATCGTACTCACACTGGAGAGAGGCCGTTCAAGTGTAAAATCTGTGGCCGTGCCTTCTCCACTAAAGGGAACCTTAAAACTCATTATGGTGTCCACCGGGCCAATACTCCTTTGAAGATGCAACATTCGTGTCCTATTTGCCAGAAGAAGTTTACAAATGCAGTTGTGTTGCAGCAGCATATCCGCATGCATATGGGGGGACAAATACCCAACACACCAATGCCGGAAAACACCTGTGACAGTACTGATGTGGATCCTACTGCGACTGAGAAGAACGGAGAGGTCAGTCGCCCAGATGAGACCGTGGAAAGCATAGAGATGGAAGAGGACCTGGACTCTCAGGATGGCCCTAGGAGTTCTTCAAAACCTCCTACTCCATACGATGCACAATCAGAATCGCCAGCCACGGCAGCCAGCTTCTCTGGTATTGCAGCACTGGAAAATCAAATTAAGATAGTCAACTCTGCTTTGAACTTGCAGCGGCAAAGCAGCTTGAAGTCTAGTGACAATGGCTCAGCAGAAAGTGATGGCCTGACAAATGATTCGTCTTCTGTGGCGGGAGATCCAGATTATCAGAACGGCAGGAGTCCTGCTGCCTCTGAGTCTGCATCGCTCCAGGCTCTGTCCCCAGCCAATAGCCAAGCTGAGAGCGTAAGGTCAAAGTCACCTAGCTTCAACAATCAAGAAGATACAGGCACGGGAAATAAATCTGAGGGTCCTGAGAACACTTCTGCAGAAATGGAACCGGGGGTCATCGGTGCTTTGGATTTAACTTACGGCAATATTGGTCGAAAGGTCATTAAAGAAGAACCTGGGTTACACTTTGCAAATGGAGAATACGGTGAGTAACACGAAATGCTGGCAATAACTTGGGTGGGGCAGTAGGACTGGAGGAAACCCTTCTCTAAAAGGACCAACAGGAGTCAAACCTCCTCAGCTTTCCCCTCTTCATTCTCCTCCATTAGAAAAAGGGGCACACGCTCTTGAAAGGTTTCCTGACTCTGAGTGCTGCTGTCTGACTGCTGTCATCTCCTGCAAGGGGTAGCATAGAGGTCCTTAAAATAAATAGAGGCTGGGCACTTATATCTTTCATGGGCTCACCTGATCCCTCCCTATAGCTCTCCAAAAGGTACACATTTGTGTTTCATGGAAGACTGCTTAACCTGAGAATGTGGCATTAAAACTCTGGAATACTTTGTGGGGTTTTTGAGCCCTTTAGCACTGAGGCAAATTTGACCAGAAGTGAGATTTCTAACTCCTAAGCTCACAAACAAAAATGAGGATGAGCTGATCTCTTTCAGAGCATACTAGCAGCCCTACCACACGTCTTTGGAGGGCTTTGCAGGCGTGCTTTTTGGGCACGTGCATGTCCAAAGGCAGGGCCTCTGGTATTGTAGCCATATTTAAGCTTGGAAGCAGGAGGAGTTTGGGATAAACATTATCTTCGCTTTCTTTCCAGGTCGAAGTAGTATTCCAGCTGCTTTTGTTAGAGCCCCACCAGCCCTCATAAAAATGGAGATGCCCGGTGAGCGTCCCATTAGCACTAGCCATTTCATTGGCCCACCAGCTCTCTCCCCTGGTGTTGCCCCTCTCCTTGTGCCACGACCGAAATTCTGCCGTCCCGCCAAACAGCACATCTGCACTACGTGTGGGAAGAACTTCTCTTCTGCCAGCGCCCTTCAGATTCACGAACGGACCCATACTGGTGAAAAGCCATTTGCCTGCACCATCTGTGGGAGAGCCTTTACAACAAAAGGAAACCTGAAGGTAAGCTGTCTCTTAAACTGTGATTTACTTTGTCAGGGGAAGCCATACCATAAGAGGGAAACGCTATTCCTGAGGCCAGTCCTGCCTTTGGGGACAACTTTAATTTTTCTTTTAGTTCCTCAAATTGTTATCTTTGACTTTTGTCTCTCCTTCATGAGTTTCTTTACACAACTTGCTAAGCAGCGTACTGAAATCATCTGCAGAAGTCTTTGCTACTGTCTTTCACTTTTGTTTTTGGATGGTGAGAAAGGCTTAGCCCTTACTAAGCAGATGGTTTTATTTTCCTTTGGAGTTGGATGCCTCAAGACATAAAACATTTCGTAGACTGAATGCTACAAAATGACGCCTACAGAATACACGCCTTAGACTGCACTGCTTGAAACACCGTGCAGGACAAGGAGGCATATAAGTGAGAGGATAATCCTGAGATGGCACAAAGTACTTGGGGATTTCTTTGTCTAGGCACTTGCTGAAGAAGTCCTGCGAGTCTGTCCTCACTGTCAGATTAATCCATTTGCCCTGTAAGGGACTTGCAGCGCTTTCACTTGCACAGAGGCTTCTCACTTCCCATGAGAACCTCTGCAAGCTCTTCAGTGCTCTTGCATAAATGCTGATGGGGATGGAAAACACTCTGCAGTTTGTGAGCCGTCAGTTGCTGGAAGCACTAGTAATATGTTTGTGGTGTGGAAGATTTTAGCTTAGGTGTAACCTCTCTTCCAAATTCCTTGGTGAGTTTTTTGCATTAACTAGTAATTTTTTTCACTGTAGTCTGTTCACAGCAAATAATGTGGCTTTTACTTTTTGAGGGAGAGAGGGGCATCTTTGCCAACATCACTTACAATAAGTGTGAAAACACGGTCCTACAGACAATTCAACAGTAAATGCTAGAGAGCCACGGTGATGTCAGGCAGTAGAATGACTGTATCTTACGTATGCCAGGAAGAGAACAAAGACAAGAACTAGCCAGCTTAAATACCTGACCTGAATGCAAATTGGGCATACATGACTTCTTTTGAGCAACTTGGCTGTAAGCAAAGTAGAACTTGTGTATACCATAAAAGAACTGCAGTATTAATGATCCTCTTTGCTTTTTTTCCCCTCTGGAAGGTTCATGTAGGAACTCACATGTGGAATAACTCTGCCAGGCGGGGAAGGCGGCTTTCAATTGATAACCCCATGGCTCTGTTGGGGAATGATCCCAAGAAGGTATCTGAAATGTTTCCGAAGGATATAATGCCTCCTTCAGTGAGCATTGACCCCACAGTCTGGAATCAGTATGCAGCGGTACTCAGCAATGGCATAGCGATGAAGACTAACGAGATCTCGGTGATCCAGAGCGGTGGCTTACCTACCCTTCCAGTCACCATTGCGGGTGGTTCAGCAATAAATACTGCTACGGTCTCCAAAATGGATGGGACCCAGTCTGGGACTGGTTCTGATACGGAGAAGGCCAGTGGTGCTGCTGCAGACAATGTGCCAAAACACCAGTTCCCTCACTTCATGGAGGAGAACAAGATTGCTGTTAGTTAAAAACTCTAGTGAAGTTGACGTACAGAAAGAACAAATATATATATACACAAACATATATTTTTAAGAGATTCCACTTCAGCCTCCTATTTTCCTATTGATGTGCAAATGATTTTATGGTTGTCTTTGTAAGAGTTGCCCAGAGTACAATCATGATATTGCTTTGCAAATAGTAAATAATAAAGAATAGGATTTCCTTCTATTTGGAAAGATGCGGGTCTTGCAAAGTAGTTCTTACGTGTGACTTTAATATGTACAGCCTTACAGAAGTTTCTACAACTTGAAATTCCAAAGGTTAGAATATTTACCTCTTTGTTTAGAGTGAAGTACTTGGGGGATTTGAATCGAGTGGAAACAACCTACTGTTGATGGAAAAGCTTCTATTTACTGATGAGAAATGAAAACTATTGATGCGGGTAAATATCCTAGAATGTCTGCCACCCTCTTAGAAATAGTTTTTCTGTTTGGATTTTTGGCTCTGTGTGGTTTCTGAATGTACTTTTTACTATAATGGCTATAAAAACTCAAATTTTTTTTAATTCCTTTTTTGCCTCAGAAGTTCTATAAAAAGAAAGTTGCTGTTTTTCTTTAATCACTGCTCCTAAGGAATTAATTCTCTGTATTGTTGACTGCTGCTTATTTAATACTTACTACTAGGACAGTCCTTCAAGTATAGTGCCAAAACTCCTACTTCCAAAGATGTGCAGTTTTTCCTAGATGTTTTATTTCAATACCGAGAGCCCCAAACAAGCATGGGTGGGTATGTATATACTTTTTTTTTTTTTCCTCCTCTCTCTCTTGAAAGGGAAGACTTGCCTTGGGAAGTCAGGTCTAAAAGCTCTGCAAGGAATCTCGGGTGACTGTTGCAATTAGGCATGGGAACTGGTTTCCTTAGCAAGAGACTTTTTTTTTTTTCATTTGGGTAATTTAGAAGATCAGTCTGTGTAAACCTGTATTTAAATATGAAGTATTCATGCTTAGGTTAAATGTTTTGTGGGTTTTTGGATGGCATTCCT